TGTGTGGATAGCATTTACCTGCCATTCAAGCTTGTTTGCCAACTGTCAGGTCTGACTGAAACCTCTTTGTAGATCCTAGCACCCAGGATACATATTTCTATATGGTAGCTCCAAGACAAAGTCCTTTGATCCATCCATGCAGCTAAGAGCCTTGTTTAGTTCTCTTGCTGACATACATAGAGTGCCTTGATACATCTCCCTACAGCATTAACCAACACAGCTCATAACACAACAGCCATGGACTGCTCTAAATGTCATGATCCGACAATAGAGTAAAGCTGACCATAGGCCTCCTATTAATAATCAAATATACCACAGACATCAAATGGAAATGACTACTGGAATTTAACTCATTCTACCAATTCAAATTTGTTCGGAAAAAATGTTGAAGGGATAACTTTGTACCAGCAGATATTAAAGCCAGATCAGTTATTGCCAGTCCTTCCAGAGGCAGAACAAAAACTCTGTAGCATGGACAGAAGCTACTGTGAAAGCAATGTGACACCGTGTCCATACCTGATCCAGATCAATTTAGTACTGCTGGGAGACTGGACTATGCACAGCCTTGGAATAAGCAAATCTGAAACTGCAACCCAAGATTGTTTAGGTAGATCATCACTTCCCTATTTGAAGCATTTTCCTAGTTCCCTCTTTGGTATTGCATCAAACATTATTTACTTACCTTCATTTCCAAGGGCATCTACAACAAGTCTACAACTCTGTTAATTGTCTCTCATTTCCTTTCCAGTTGACTTCTCTCCTCTACTGCCTATTTGTTGAAATTCCAAACAACACATTTTTGGGGGGCTTTATTTCATGGTGGTTTTGAGGTATGGAGGAGACTATAATCGTCCTGCAGAACTAAGCTGCCCAAGAAGCGTGTACAAACAAACCCTGACTTCGTCTGCCCATTAAGTCTGTCCAGGCTCAATCCAGTTTTGTCTGTACCATTCCATCTCAGTACAGCACCCCACATGCTAACATGTCCCACTGAACAGCAATTTGATGAAGTTAGATCTGTTTGAGTAACTACTGTCAGTGCCTTGATTCCATTCCAAGCTGCAGAAGGTTCCTATTAAAGCAGACAAAGATGCTTCATTGGTGCTACTTCAGCATGACTCAGGACAACAGTGTATGTGTTTGGAGAGTAACAGCACTCTGGCATTTTCAAAGGAAGATGTTACCAGTATAGACTATGAAAATTTCCTTAGGTGTTATATTCAAAATTAATTCAAACAAAGGAATCAGAGAGTGAAAAAAATGCTTACCAATTTGGTTTTTAAACTGATATGGTCATGTGAGAGAATATTTCATTGAACAGTACAGATTGGCGATCTGCTATTATTTTTCTTTCAAATTCTGACAACATATCATCTTTCTATCTGCTTACAAATGTGATTTAAAAAAAACCCAAACCAAAACCAAACAAAATTCAGTTAGATTTTTCCTAAAAATCCTGGCCCTGAGAGTTTAGGAAATAATTTTATTAATATGTAAGACCATGTAAGTACACAGCTTTCCTAGAGACTGGATCCAGAACATGGAGAAAAAACAGTGGAGATTTTATTGTGTTATTTCAATACAGGAACCAAAGATATCCAAAGATATTCAACCTGAACAATACTTTAGGAAAGGGGAAAAAATGAACCATGTGTTAGGAATTCAGAAGTGAGCAACAGTTTCTGATATAATTGTAATGGCACAGAATTTCATGGCATGCAGACGGAAGAGCTATAAAAATGATTTTATAGCAGCGCAATTTACCTGTGTCTGAGGCTAAAGTAATAAACACAAACCATGATGGACAAGGTCTTTGCCTCTCTGTATTGAGGGTTCCTAGACATGATATATAGCAATAGTTGGCCATCAACAACTGTAACTAGAAAAACCCTTTTGTATAGTTCAGATGTAGAAGATGTCCTCTGTTTTCACTTCAATTATGAAACATTGTTAATTATTAATATTAACATTGTTAATGTTAGTAATTACTTACGTTCTCTCCCCTCCCCCCACAGTTAGAAGGAAAAGTTTGTTATTTACTTTTGTTATGTGTTAAAAGTAAGGCCCATGATTCAGATCCATATAAGAGAGTAGACAGCAGTATGGCTCTGTACACACTGATCTTTGTACTTTTCTTCAAGTGTTTATTTTGCCAAGCTCTTATATGAAGCTTTCCGAAGGCGCTATATGCCTTTGCTAACCTGTTGTCTATCTCCCCGTCAATCTTACCATCTGAGGAGATGAGGCTACCTAGGTAATTGAACTGCTGGACTGATTTGAGCTCTGATTGGCCAATGGTGATGTGGGGATGATGGAAGACTTCCTGAGGTGCTGGTTGATAGAGAACTTCTGTCTTCTTTAAGCTGACTTCCAGCCCAAAGAGTTCAGCAGCGTCTGCAAAGCAGGATGTTAAACGCTGCAGGGTTGCTTCTGTGTGGGTGACAAGGGCGGCGTCATCAGCATAAAGCAGCTCCTGGACAAGATGGTTTAAGGTCTTAGTATAGGCCTTCAGTCGCCTTAAGTTGAAAAGGCTTCCATCAGTATGGTATCGAATGTAGGTACCATCCTTATATGGATCTGAATCATGGGTCATCTACCGCCACCACTTGCAACTCCTAGAACGCTTCCATCAACGCTGTCCCCGTACAATCCTAAACATCCACTGGTCAGATTATGTGACCAATACATCTGTTCTAGAACAAGCAGCAGTCACAAGTATAGAAGCCATGTTGATGAGAACACAGCTGCGCTGGGCAGGACACGTCTCAAGGATGAAGGACCACCGCCTCCCTAAGATCCTGCTTTATGGTGAACTCGCCACCGGCTGCCGCATGAGAGGAGCCCTGAAGAGAAGATACAAGGACTCCCTGAAACAACATCTCAGCCTCGACCATATTGATCAACATAACTGGTCTACTCTGGCCTCCAATCGGGAGGTCTGGAGACACACCATCTATAACACTGCTGATGCTTTTGAGAAAGCATGCAGGATCACTCTCGAGGAGAAAAGACAACGCAGAAAGATTTGTGCCTTGCAGAATATATCATCTAAGGAGTCTTTCTGCTGTGCCTTTTGCAACCGGACGTGCCTGTCTCGTATTGACCTTTTTAACCACCAGTGCGCTTGTAACAAACATGGGTAGAGCCCTTCCCAAATCTTTGTTCGCAAAGTCCAGCCATGATGATGAAAAGTAAGGCTATGGTGTTGTCAAGTAAAAGGCATGGCTTATAGGATTTCATGTTCTTTCTGTAATCTTAACCAGGAAGAAAGCCAAAGCACTTAACTGACTTTCTGTAATGAAATAATTTTAATTTCTACAGAAAAACTGTCACTGGAACATGGCAGAAGTCTAATAGTACTCAGTAATGTTGCCATATCACAGTTTATGTCAGGAAGGGTTTTTCTGTTTGCTTGTATTAAAGTTTAGAGATTCCTAATTCCCAGATGGTGCAGTGGCACACAAAGATGGCTGGGACTGTCAAGCTAATTCCTCACCTTCCAAAATCTGTATCTCCCCTAGATACTGGTGCCAGTTCACCCATGCCTCATGCCTATGGGGAAATGCAGACCTGAAAGTTTCAAGCTGCTGACTTTGTGCGCAGAGAATGTTCAGACAGACATTGCAAGGTGGGACTGGGAGCTCTGTGCAGCACCTCACGGACATCACTCTTTGACACTCCTGCTGTCTGACATGGCATCAGATATTACGTGTGAGGTACAGGATCCTGTGAAAGACAAAAGATTTTTTTTTTCCCCAGAAACATAAAGGTTGGGATGTTGTTTAACAGCGGACATCAGATCAGTATCACCTATTTAGCTGGCTGTCTTTTGAGTTTTAGTTGATACTGGAGGGTAAGAGAAGAAAATTCTTCTATATTTCCAACAGTCTTCTGGGATTGCAGGGGAGTCTACTCATATGGGATGGGCAACCCTCCTGTTTTCAGTGTTGCTCGGGAAGGAGCAGAAAGCAAGCAGTAAAACCTCTGACAGCCTCATAAAAACTATCATAGAGAAAACAACAAAAAAAACCCCTAAACAAAATGAATTCTAAAGCCGTCATGCTTTGGATTCCCGCAGAAATCATTCAGCATTTACAGAGGACAAGCCTCACTGCAAACCGCGCCCGCACTTGGGGTATTTTCCCCCTCATGTTCCCTCCGGTGCGTTGACCGCAGGACCCAACGGTGGGCGGGCCGGCCGGAGCTCCGGAGGGCTCCTTTCCCATTCACCGCGATCAGGGACGACGTCCGTTCGCGGGAGCACCTGCCCGCCCGCCGCCACCTCCCTGCCAGCCGCGGGGCCGCAGGCGGCAGCCAGAGCCCCGAGTGAGGGCTGCCGAGTGACGAGTGTGCCCGGCCCCCGCAGGTCCTCCGAGTGACGAGTGTGCCCATGTCCCCGCAGATCCCCGGAGCGGCGAACGTTAACGTCCCTCCCGCAGGTCCTGGGAGTGGCGAACACGTCCTTCCCTCCAAAGGTTCCCGGCGAGTGTGTCCGTCTCCCCGCAAGCCCCTGGAGTGGCGACCGTGTCCTACTCTCCGCAGGTCCCTGGAGTGGTGACCGTGCCCGTCCCCCACAAGCCCCCGGAGTGGCGAACGTTAACGTCCCCGCAGCTCCTCGGGGTGGCGAGTGCGCCCGTCCCGCCGCGCCGCTCCAGGAGCGAGTTAACCGGCGGCGGCGCCACGCTAGAGCCGGGCCGAGAGGCGCGGGCTGCAGCTGAGGATCAGCTGCTGAGGGGAGCGGGGAGGAGCCAGCGGGATCAGGAAGCGGCGGAGTGTCTAACACCTCTCTGCCATGGCTGGCTAAAGAAAAATCATCATAACCATAACAAGGGGGGAAGCGGGGGAGGGGAGGCGGCGGCGGGGGAAGGGGCGGCGGGGGAAGGAGCGGCGGGGAGCGGCGCAGGCGGCAGCATGAGGAGGAGAGGCAGCCGGGGGGGCAGCATGCGGTCGGTGGTGGGGTTCCTGTCCCAGCGGGGCTTGGAGGGGGACCCCCTGCTCACCCAAGACTTCCAGCGAAGACGCCTGCGGGGCTGCAGGAACCTCTACAAGAAGGACCTCCTGGGCCACTTCGGCTGTGTCAATGCCATTGAATTCTCCAACAATGGAGGCCAGTGGCTGGTCTCAGGTAAAGCCAACGCTCCCGTCCCTCGCCCCCTCCCGCCACCCCCTCCCCAGGAAGCATCTTCCTGCCCGGCCGCCTCCCCCGCGGCCCGGGGGGAGGGGAGCCGCGGTGGCGCTGCTCAGAGACGTTTCCCAAATCCACCGGTGCCCGGGAATGATGTTTTCCCAACTAGGGATCTAAAATGGTTGACAGGTTTTAAATTCTACTATTATCGGGGAGGGGGGAGCCCTGGACAAAGTTTTTACTAGAGTGTTTCCCGGGCGCTGGGACTGGAAGCTGGGGGTGCCCTTTTATTTGATGGCTCGCTTGTCTTTCCCCATATAAGGGGATTTTCTTATTTTCGGGGGGACGACGACGGAGACGAAACCACCCCGCGGCGCGCATTGTGGGCGCCGGGTGACATTTGTCAGCGCCGTGCCCCGGGTCGGGGGTCAGCGATCGCTGCCGGGGGCGGGCGGCGGCCCCGAGTTTGGCCGGGGGAGCTGCAGTCCCGCTCAGCATCGGGCGGGGAACTGGATCTGTTTAATCGAGGGCATGGTCACTTTGGGGCCACCCCACCACATCTTTTGGGGGAGGGGAGTCGGGTTTTGTTTTGTTTCTCCTCCCTCCCCTTGCAGGGCGCATTTGGGGAGAGGAAGAATTATATTTGTGGTGATGTGTTTGACTTCGTGTCCCCCCTGTTGCTTGCCCGGGGCTGAGGGACCCGTGGTTGGGAGATGCTGTCAGTTAGGAGGGAGGCGAGGGCTTGCCATCAGCTGCGACACCGAGGACGGGGAAAGGCTCTGTACCCCCAGCCAGGGAGGGGCTGCGGGTCTCGCCGGCCGGCCGCCTCCCCCCACCCCAGTAGCGCTTGGCGCAGGTGCCTCTTCCTTCTTCCCCGTCTCCGGGCTCGGAGGGGCGGCGGGGGAAGGAGGCAACTTGAGGCCGGGGCCTGGCCGGGCGCTGCAGGCCGCGCTCTCCTTGGGCGGCTCTTAGCGACAGGCCGGGGAATCGCGGGCCGATCCTGCCGGCGGCGCCCCGGGGGCTCCGGCGCTGAAGGGCCGCGGCGCCCTTCTCCCGCCGAACCCGAGGCCCCTGCGCCCCGCTGCGAGGGGGCAGAACCCTTCGGGTGAGGGGGAGAGAGCTGCCGGTCCGGGAGGGACCGCCCGTGCCGCGCCGCCCCGGGCAGGGCCAGGCCGCCCAGTGCGGTGTCCATCGCAGGCCGCGGTCGGGGGCCGTCTTGTCCCGGCCGCCCCTCACCCCCAGGGGGAGCGAGCTGGAAGGAGCGGCCTCCCTTCCCTCTCCCGCCGGCTGGGGTTGGGGCTGCCGGCAGCTCCCTCCCCCGGGGCCGGGCAGCAGCGGGAAAGGCCCACTCCCGGTCGTATGGAGTGGCTGCCCTCGGGGGAATCGCAGAGCTCCCTGGCACAAGGCCGTGGCAGCTTTGTTGAGCGTGGTCTCTCCGCTTGCAGGAGGGTAATGGCCTGGTTACCAACCACGGGGTGGAGGAGGGGCGAGAGGGCCTCGGCTTTGCCTGGCCACCCTGTAAATAGCGACAGAGGCTACTAAGGAACGTGATGGGGGTATGGCTGAGCGGGCAGCTTTACTGCCTTCTTGTGGTGTCTGGGCAGAGGTGGACTGTATCACACAAAGGTATCAGTATTAACTGCAGAAATAACACGAAGATTCAATAAAAAGTTATTATGACTGGTTACTTTTAAGCAAGGACAGAACAGAAACACTGCATAAACATAGAGTGGAAGGTGATACACTGAAATCTTCCTAAATTTAACATTCTTACCTGAAGTAATTTACAAGCATAAGTCCAGGGGTTTCTGGAATGTGTGTCCATGAAGGGTCTTAGTGTTACTGTCGGGGATTCTTTTATCTTTATGCACATGCAACTTATGAGATAGGCATCCATGTACATGTGTATACATGCACACATATATATGTATATAAATGTGTATTGGAAGGGAATGCTGATTCACCTATTCTAAAGTTCCCATTTGTGCTAGAGTTGGCATGCCGGTTTGCACTGGTCCTTCTTCAGTAGAAAATAGAGCATTGTATTTCTACTTATAAAGTGCTACAGAGAATTCAAGTGTAACTATTGTTTCTTTTTTATTTTCCATAATAAGTGATGGAAACAACACCAGTATTTTCTGTTCTTCTTGCTCTAGAAGGCTTTAGGAGATACTTCAGGTCTTGTCATATCATCAGTGCACTTACCTATGTTGACATCCATTCTTTAGGTAGAAGCATAAAAAGTTGAGGACTGGACAGACTTTTAAGAATTAATTTTGTCCAAACTGCCTGAGTCAAGGTAGGTGCAGTGAGAGAATGGAGGCATATTTCCCAGCTATTGGGCATCTAAAGAAGCATACTTAAAAGGAAGGCTTTCAAACAATGTCCAGATTTCAATTTCCTAACTTCTCGTAAAGCTTCAGAGTGTTCAAAGGGGGTAAGCTTTTCCTCCATATGTAGATAAATGAATAGCAAGCAAAGAGATAAATGGTAGCAAGCAAGTGAAAAAAAAAAAAAAGGCTTAATTTACATGTATTAGCAGTGCACATATTTGGAGTAGTCAAGAACAGGCTACCTTAAGCATGACCTTGTGTTGATGCCCTGAGAAAATGAAGAACTCTAATTATGGTAACTTCTTAACAAATGTTCATGTTATCTGTGACCATAAGATTTAGAATGTTTTATGTGCCATAGGAACAGCAAACAGGTGCTCTGTGGTTCAGTCAAAACCAAGAAATTAAAAGTCAAAAGATTTATGAATAGTCTTAAATTTCATGTCATTATAAGACCAAGCTTCATTAAAATTACACTCAAAAGACTCCTTTTTAAGGTCATACTTGATCTTGAAGCTCTGAGAAATAGCAACAGCAGGAAAAAAGCAATGATGAGAGCTCAGATGAAAGGTAAAGGAAGGGTATAAGCTGCCTCTACTCTGAAGTTTTGTAGAAGAGTTGCTTTACAAGACTTCCAAATGCAGATAAAGCCTTAGAATAGATGTCATGTGGGTCTCTCTTCCCTCAAAATAGTCAGCGTGCTGAGGTAAGGATGAGATGTTAGATGCTTCCATCTGTGCTTATAGCAGCTAAGAGAGTTAACAGGGATATTGGAATGTGTGAAAAGGGAGAGTGCAAGCAGTCTTTTCAGTTGTTCAGTGTTAAGTAATATCTATATTCTTAATCTAAAGAAGTCTGCTTTGGCTAATTGACTTGTTAACAACTTAGACCTTGTTAGAGATGGTTGAAGTGCAACTGGTACAGTGCATTGGTAGTGGCTATACTGATGCCATTGAAATGCTAGCCTGCATACAAATTAGTGCTGTTCTCATCGCTGTTGGCTGGAATGCTTTCCTTAGGTATGTGTCCCACCTTTTTTTTTTTTTTAAATCTATCTCCCAGAAGCAAATCTGTAAGGCTAACGATTACTGTTTCAGTAAACAATTTAAACTGCTTAAACAGAGTTTATATTACAGTTCCAGATAATTTTCCTGCTAGGATTTTGGAGAGAACTTCAGTGTAGACGAGCCTTGGCAGGCCTTCTGAAAGCATGTTTGAAACTTTTAGGTATCTTCTTCAAATCTTGTATTGGAAAGTGCACATTTAATAGTCATTAAATTTGTCCGTAACCATATTTTCAAGTAAAAAAGTTGAGATCTACAAGTTGAGCTGGGGGGCAGTTTGTAGGCTTTTGCTGTGCCTGTGTAAAACTCAACAGTGTCACTTTATAGAGGGGGAGAAAGAGAGAGAGATTAATAGTTTGGGACATGAGTGCTAGAAGAGACAGACATAAGGACAAGAATTTAAAAAAAATTAAATAAATGGAATGAGGAGGTGGACGCTCAGGAGAAGATGCAGTGTAACAAGTAGAAAAGGCCTATCTGTAGAATGACACAAGGGAAGAGGAAAGCTTAACATATAAGAAATGTGTAAGTGGGTTGAAATTGGTTACAATTTGTTGCTGGATAGAATTGAAAGATTTTATTGGGCAAAATGTGTCTTTGCAATGCTTCATTTACTAGATGGTGTTTTTTTCTTTTAACAGTTTGAGAAACACATGACCGTCCATGCATGGAAATTAAAATCACCATGCAATGGTGTGCATCTGACTTCTTCCCTCACATTTGCCAAGCATCTCCTTCTGCAATTTAACTTCTTGAAAATCAACTTTACTTGGTCTGTGTAATAGACTGTCTGTCTCCCATCCTCAGGTTTGGTGGATATGTTTTCCTATTTGTTTATCTTTCATTTTTCATGCCTGCTATCTCTTACAAACACGAGTATCTTTATCAGAACCTCCCACTTTTTTGCCGACTTTAAACTGCACTTTCAAGATAACTTCTGGGAAGTACTGTAATCTGAGGCTTACTTAATCCATGCCAGCATTCCTTTTCTCTTGGCTTTTTTTCCCTCCTACTAGATAATGCAAAAATTAATAGCTGTTCTATGATCATAAATTTGTGAGGATGCAAGAAAGTATTGGAAATTGATCTGTCATTTAGTTGCTGTGTAAATCTGAAGGAGCATGGGCCTAAAAGAAGAGAACAAGGTGACTTTAGCAAAGGTAGTGGAATATTACTTCTGAATAAGGGGATTGTGTATCAAGTATGTTTTAAAGAGGAACACCTTTGATTTTAATCTCATTGTATCCAACAGAATTCTGTGTAAGGAAGGATCTTACGTCAAGTTACTACATCATGTTTTAATTAATTTCTGAGAAATTATAAAATTTCTCAGGAAAGATATCAGGATAAGGCAGCAATAATTTCAGAGGATAGGAGTTGAATTTCAAGTTAATTAAGATACATTACATGGAAAAAAATATCATGTGTTTTGATAGGGACAAGTGCAAACTACAGCATGTGAATAAAAATGATCAACTCTACAAATACACTATGGCAGCTAGGCCATAGTCATAGAGAAGAGGATCCAAATGCAATAGATCACAACATAAATATTGTCAGACATGATAAAGCATGTGAAGTAAACCTGCTTTGTTTGGTGCTGTTGGGGCCTCAAATGGAGTGCTGTGCTCAATTTTGGGCACTGTGTTTTGAGAAAGATGTGCCGAAACTAGAGAAAATTCAGAAGAGGGTATGAAGAATGAAAGACTGAAAGAAAGGGGTCCATTTAGTTTACAGAGAGAACAGCTGAGTAGAGATGCAAGTCCTAAGCTGCATAAAGGTGTTCTTAATTATTATTACATGAAGTTGTAAACTCTTCTTTGTCTACTGGGAATAGGACAAAGAAGTAGTCCAAAATTATAGGAAGAAAGATTTCAGGATGCTGTTTGATCTTGCACCTGCCGTTCATTCTGTAGTTCATTCACTTATTTCTCCTCTTCATTGCTTGTAATGTGACACTTTTATAATTTAAAGTCAGAAACTGGTATGATGGAAGCATCTGATCAGGGGAATGGAATAGGGAGGAAGAGATTTTTTGTCTGTCAGTTGATTTTCTGTCAGGTCAGCTTCTTTAATCTACTCATCCCTGCCTGAATCGTCAGTGAATTCAATGAAAGGGAAAATAGCAGGAGCACATGGTAAGGGGGAGTGGGATTATACGTAAGGTCAAAATGCACCCTCAGGCTAGATATTAGGGCAATCTGCCTAATGACAAGGATAATGAGGAACTGAAATACGCTGCCTAAGGAGGGTATGAAATCTACCTCAGCCCTGATTTTTTAAGAGCAAACTAGAGATGTATCTACTGGGAATAATTCTGACAAAGTCTAGCTTTTTGCCTTTGTCCAGGGCCAAATAAGTGATCAACTTGAAATACCATACAGTCCCACTTTCTGTGATTCATACAACCTCTGGAGTAGGTATGAGCAATAAGAGTAATAGTTTTTGTTATGATTTAGAAGTGTTGTCCACTTGCCATATAGGTTCTTCGGTGACTGGAGCTGGTATATGGGGAGACAAAGAGGAGTAGTGGTCTTGAGCTTTGTCTGCAATCCGCAAGGTTAATGCTCTTTAAAATTGCAGTTTTTAAGTCCTGACTGGTATGATTTTGAGGTGCTTCTGTTAGTACTCAAGAACTCGTGTGTTTCATGAGTTATGCAGACACTGATTGGAATAGATTTACTTTGGTGAGGGTATGTTCTGGCCCCCTTTGAACTATTTTAGGCCCAAAAAGAATAGACTTCTCTTCCTGTCTCTCTTTAGTTTTGAATGTAGAAACAGGTTTGACCCATAATGAGCACTGAGGTACTTGACTAATTAAATCTTTTAAATGTGGTTCCTTTCAGAAAAGTAACTGTAGAATGGTGTTGTATAATTCCTAGCTGGGTCACACAAACTTTTACTTTTCAAATTGTCAGTCATACAGTCCTAAACAGAATCTGCAAAATAAGATAAAAGTGAAGCTATTTCCACTTTGTAGTTGTCAGACTTACTGTTTCTGACACCACAGACTGAAAAATTACAAATTCAAGACTTTGCAGGTCTTCAATTTCTAGAAAATCCGCATGTGGAGCCTTGTTGACTAAGGTATTTTCTTATGAAGCCATGGACTTGGATTTCCCAGATATGTATTAAACCTGTTGCTGTTGGTATATGCCCTGTATCATGTTAAGAAGGTACTCTTCCCATACACACTTATTTCATTGTTCCTTTGGGGGAGTATTGTAGAGTTATCACAAGGTTGTTCAGTGAGTCCAGTGGTTTTTGAAAAGTGTTGAGTGGCTTCTGCTTCCGTTGTCGTAGAATTGATGTATATGCACAATAAATTCACCGTACATGGAGAACATTTTAGTTAATCAGCATTTGCTGTTCTGTTGTACAGAATGAATGCTATAGACCTGCTATAGTTTCCTATAATTCTCAGACTTGTAACTTATGTTGCATTATGTGCATGCACTTTTTGTGCAATGAATCATGGTTCCCTTCTACAGAGCGTAAAAGCTCTGCATGTTCACATTTTCTTTGCTGTCTCCCTTCATACCTGTCCATACATGTGCATCTCTCTCCTTTCTCCCTCTTATTGTAAGAGTCAGGTTTGGGTAGTGAAGATTGCATTTGCTGGTTTACACTTTTCCTGGTTTCAGTCACTTAAACCTTGCCTTTTCTTGGCTATAATTACCTGCGACTTAACACTTCTTATTCTCTTGTATGAGGATGTAGAGACTGTTGAAGTGCCTTTTTGCCATAAATCCTCTGTGGCCCAACACATTGGGTAACTTTTTCTTCCTGGTGGAACTGGTTGTAAGTCAGAAGTATTTCTAGAATAGCTGAACTGTAGTTAGAAGGTAAGAGACTTACAACCCAGTTAACATTATAATTTTATTAAACTTTTATGTCTCAGGGAGTATGAGAGGGTGAAACAGGTGTAGATGTCCTCAAAGACAAGTATGTGCAAGACAATATGTAGATGGAGAAGGGACAGAATTGCATGAGTATGGGGAATATTTAAAAGCTCCTAAACTGTGGACTGTGCCACCACAAAGGCAAACATAGTTCTTGGACCGCTATAGTGTTGAGTACTCAATAGTGGGACCCTTTGTACCAAAGTCTCATGGAGATCTAGGTAACTGGGAAGAGAGAAACATTTTTATTCAATAGGAAGAGTCTTTTCCAAAGTGGAGGCAGAAGAAACAGGCACTAAGGTATAGGAACTTCCGAAAGAGAAGGTAGTGGCAACTTTTCACGCTGTCAAAGACTTTTCTGCACAGGTTACAATTTATCCTTCTCCTACCGTACTGTATGTGTGCTGGAAACCACACTAATGTTTGTTTTCTATGGATATCTTCATTATTTTTCTTGTATCTGGGCAGTGGTTGGTGAAAATGATTATGAGTTTGCTGTTAAAGTGGGACACCTAGCTGGCTGTGCTGTCAGGTAGGAGGATGTGTAAACTTATTGCAGTGGTTTTGCAAATTGGTTTGCTATGGGAACAATTAACAACAATATGTAATGTTTTGCCCTGAAATGTGTTTTACAGAAGGCAATAAATAAAGTTTGATAGAAGCAATGTTGGTGTTCACTAGCCTTAAATGTTGCTTAAATTGTTTTCCAGGTAGTGATAAGAATAGGATATGGCTTTTGGCAGCTTTGGAAAGTAGCCACTTTTAAATGTGACAGTTACTTCTTGATTTTAATTTGACTGATGTGGTCATGTATTTCTGTGTCTCTTTATTACTTATTATGTCCGCAATCACTAGGATGCAAATACAACTGTCTCTCCTATTTCTAGACAGAAAGAAATATAAGCTTCCATTAGTTTAGTTGACCATAAATTACTATGAGTTTCTGGATCCATCAGATTTAACTCATTCCCAGTAGTTATCAAATGCATCACAAATCTTTTTGTCATGTACTCTTGTTTGCTCTGTGAAGTACAAAATCAGGAAGAGGAATACACAATTAATCTCAAGGAGCATGGGTAAGCATAACATGCAGCTGTACTGTCCATCAAAGTGTCATAAAATCTGTTAATAGACTCACAGGCTGAGAGACTGTTAACTTATAGGATGTTTGACATAACTCAGTTCCATGGGAAAAATGCTTAATAGCATCATCTGATGTGAAAAATTTAAAGAAATCTGATTATCAATAGTAGTAATGAATTCTGTTTATGCATTTATGTTTTCTGTAAGTAAACAGCAGGCCAATTGATTTTGGTTTCTTTTTGTCTCTGTGTCATGCCTTTTTCCCTCTGGATAGCAGCTCAGATGGCTCTGAGTTTATGCTTTTGATTGTGCAAAGAAGCAGTAAAATGTTTTAACTGAAATCAGAATGTTTCCAGTGGCATTTTTGACTTGCGATGACTTTAATTTGTTATTAAAGAGAGATACCAAAAAAATATTTTAAGTCTGACTTAAAGCAGCTTTATTCAGATTTTACAGGCATTCAAAATTGCTGTGGAGAATGCTGTCCAATACAATAGTATCTTGATTTTTTTTTTCCTAATAAATAGTAGTTTAATGCAAGTGAAGCACAAACAGTCTAATACTCATTTTATATCTGACTGTTTATCAGACAGAGAAGGAGGCACTTCAATATATCTGTGTTTAGAGTTCTGAACTGAGAACTGCATCTAGGCAAGCAATTAGAAGTACATACAGCAAGTTGTAAAGCAAGAGAGAGTTGAACTTCTTTTCTCCAGGTACTCTCTTTGTCAGGAGTTCACCTCAGAAATGTCTGTCTTAACCTTTACAGATCTAGAAGCACGACATGACCATGCATGCTGAAGGCTTCTGAATGCCTCAGTAAAATCTTTTTATGGCCACATGTCAGTCCTGAGCCAACCTATACTATGAAGGCTTTGGAAAGACTGCTAGAAGAGATATAGTTGTCACTGTAAGAGGGAAAAAGTTTCTGTTTTATGAATAGTGTAAGCAAGGCTGGCAACAAGGGGTTGGTATAGAAGCATTTTGCCAACATGCATATGTTAATCTGGCATGTAATTCATCTATAGCTTGCCACAGAGTTTTATGTAGCAGTACATTTTTGAGTTTCCAGGTTCCTATAGGTTGTCACTCTGCGTTGGCAGAATGGCAGCTGTTTAATTCAAACTTTTCATGCTGATTACTATGTTTTCATTTATTTTAACGGAATACCTGACTGCATGACATCTTAATGTAAATGTGTGTCTATATATCCAAAAAGGTATACATTTTTTATGCTAAATAGGGTTTTAGCAAAGCCTTTTATGAATAGCTGCACAGTTAAATAATGTCATCAGTTTACACATGGCTCAGGCAGTAATGCTCATTCCCTTTCTTTCTTCTAGGAGGAGATGACCGCCGGGTCTTACTTTGGCATATGGAAGAAGCCATCCATTCAAGAGTCAAACCAGTTCAACTGAAAGGGGAGCATCACTCTAATATCTTCTGCCTAGCTTTCAACAGTGGCAATACAAAAGTGTTCTCTGGAGGTAAGGAAGGAAGAGCACCCTGATTTCACAGGACTGTGTGTTGTGAATGCTTTGCAGTAGAAGCCATGAGTGAGAACCTGCCCCAGGCGATATCTGGAAGGTGTTCTTAATCAGCAACCGAAGTTTCTTTGGAAACAGGAAATTCTTTAATTAGCACAACATTTTCAATTTTGTCATGCTTCTTTTCTCAAACCCTGGTGTTACTGCATTGTTGTCTTGAACTGTCATGAGAATCCTGGGTTCAGTTTGCCCCTACTTGTGCTACAGACTGTGGAATGTTGTCTTTGATATTCCCTCTTAGCTGTATTGAGAGCAGACCCTGCATTCCCTCTGGCACTCAAGCCTGATGCTTAAAAATCTTTGCTGCTACAATCTGATTTTAATGCACCCTTAGATAGCTCATGTAGGACTATTGCCATCTATTGGTGGATCACTTTTTTTCAGACCCCATTTCAGTCCTCACTAGGTAAGCACCTGCCTTTTAGAACTGTTGGCACACACTGATAGGCCTTGATATTTTTCATCTCTTTTTAATATAAATCTGCTTTTTAACAGAAAGTTTAATTCAGTCTTAAAACTAACATAAGGGAAGTGGACATAAAGTTGTTCTGGGTTAATAATCCCTATAATTCAGGTTCATTTCACCGCATGATTTTTAAAGTGTTGAGGTAAGGAGGAAAATTTTAATTGAGAAGAAAAAGACTGTCAATGCAGTCAAGTGTCATTTTCTGCAGTACTTCGTTTCCTCTATCTGACATGGTGACAGAAGGACAAGAATTTGTACAGAATATCCTTTAACATACAGCTAGACTTATTTTAGGATATTATGAGACTATTTGGTCAAAGCCCTTTGTTACGTTTTTGAACCAAGATCTGTGAACTGTAAACCAAGGCTAGAAATTGAGTCTAAGTGCATGTGAATGATGGAAGCTTCTCGTCCTTCAATGCTGTGTTAAAATTATAACATCCATTAGAAAAAAAGGCATGACAAAGCTAAAGAGGGTGTCAAATTTGAAGGATGGAGTGATTCAGATACACTTCTCAGGTGGAGTAAACCCCAAAAATGTCAAGTAGTGATGCCTGTCTTCTAATTCTGGGGACTGCCGTTTGTTTTATGAGAAAGACAGCACTCCATGCTGTCTTCAAATGAATGTATCTGCATGAAATTTTGGGCAAAAGTCTGTTTTACTTTAGTTAGAACTCATACAAATGGAACCTTGCATGAATATTCAAGGAGTGAACTGTGCCAAATCTTGCTGGACCAGCTGGAATGGTATTTTCTCATATCCAGCTCAGCCCTCTGTCCATTGGACCCTGCTGTCAGAGGCTGCTGTTTACACAGAAAAAGCAAAAGAGTGGCTTAAATATACCTTGCCACTGAAGTTAACACCTGCAGTTAAAGATTTACATCATTAATTATGGTGGTTTTTGCTAAGATGCCAGGTTATATGAGCTGTGACAGCTGATGCACAGACAAACTGGCCATTCTCATCTCTTTTTCCTCCTCCAGTTTACATAAAACCACTGTGCCTCTGCCAGAAATTATTTCCATTGGAGGAGTCAGGAACTCTTTCAGCTGCTCCATCAAGATTCATTGATCTCATCTGCAAGGGCTGTGAGTCTGACTCTTGGATCCCTCGTAAAGAGTCATTTTGCTGCATGGCCTAAATGTACCATCTGTTTTATCTCTGTCAGTAAAATGGGGCTAGCTATATTTATTCACTCAGTGATGTTCTGGAAGATTCTTAAAAGGTCTGAAAGAATTGTGGGACTTAAGGTCTACTGGTTATCACATAGATACACAGACACCCACACCTGAATTTGGAGTTGTATTTAAATTATGGAAACTGTAATACTTATAAAACCCCCAGAACTAAGAATTAGATTATGGAAACTAGCACAAGGCACACAGAACTCAGTTTATTCTGTAAATAAACAACTGCCAACGACTAATGACTTAGAATCTGATGACCTTTCCCTAAAGCAGCTCTTGATAACAGAGGAGAAGGGATTTTCCACTTCACTAGAAATTGGATTGCATCCAAGGAATTTCAGAGCTCTTTCCTTTGAAGGAGCAAGCACCACAAGTAGCCATTACAAAAATGGAAGGCAGGAAGTGAGTGGACAGTGTTTTGCATGTAATCTCTGGAGAAAAACTGTCTCAAAGTACCAAAGAAGTTCCCATCCCTGAAGAATACTGTTGCCCTTCTCTGTCCACACACACTGAGAGTAGAGCAGCATTTGAAATGAAAGATCCCCTCCTAGTAAACTGCTTGGACCTTTTTTATTTTGCACTTAATGTTAGGTATATGAAAAGATGAAATAAAGCTACAGGGAACTGAATTTGTTTCCCTAAGGCCTGATGTGACAGATAGCTCTAGCTTTGTTGTGCATTAGGAAAGCTTCACAACTCTATATCACAACTAAAAAGACATACAGAGCATAAAAATATGACTGTGGGCTTTCTGGGTTCTTTTCTTCTGAATTAAATGTAAAAGTGTGTGTGTTCTTAAATATTTCTAAAGAGGAAGTGCCAAATTTAGGTAAATTAATATTCAGCACAGAGACGAAAGAAAAATATTCTGCTACTATAGATTGAAAAACGCTGCATGAGCTATTGGAATTACTTTGTGGCTTTGACCTTCTTAACGTGCACACATGTGGTTAGTTTCCATTGTATTCAGTGGATGTGATAAAAGAAAAATGACATGATTGTCTGGTTACTTGATTTGGTTTTTGTTAATATAGAAGAAATTGCATTGGCTGTCACATTCTTGCCTTCATGATGGCTGCAAAACCCTGGATGGTGATAGTGTTAGCTGGCAGTATTTGATCTGGGAGCCCAGTGTCTTTCACTTCCATGATCTTTTTATGGAGTATCCTTTGAGTGGGAAGAAAGATGTATTTTCATGAGAGTTAAAAGTGTCCTGCTGCTTCATGGAATATTCTTCTCTTTACTGCAGATGTCCCAAAACTCAAGCTCAAACTGAACAAAGAATGATTGGTAGCATAGTTAAATAGAATTATTTGTTGAGCAGTAGCAGATGGAACGTATTGGTACATTTGGTCATGACTGGAAATGTGACATGGAGCCTCTCACATAACTGAGCAGAGAGCTAACCACTTGGAAAATGAGTTTGTCTTCTCTCTGCTTCAGTTTTGTTTTTGAAATTGAAAATTTAAAAAAAAAATTGGTTTGGATTTTTTTTCACTATAATGCTTTTTAACCACTGGAACATGTTGTTAAGTGCTTATATTTCTCTTTTTAGGAAATGATGAGCAAGTTATACTCCATGATGTTGAAAGGTAAATACACAGTTTGTATTTCCACTGCTTTAAGAAGTTGCTTAATGTCAACTCACTGGAGGCACTTTTTGTTTTAATTAATGGTCTAGGATAAGAGCCCGGCGTTTTAATCCTGAAACCTGCTTTTTATTTATCTAAATTCATTTTGGGAATGAAGTATTCCTCGTAATTCCATTTTTTTCCAGCACTTGGGTTTTGTATCATTTTGATCTCGGAGAAGAGAATGGTTATTAAATATATATGCTCTCCTGCAAACAGCATAGTACGTTCTGAGTAGATTTAGAGCCAGATTATTCTGGCACGTATACAAGTGTTGGCACATACAGATGTTTTGTTTTTCAACACACTCACCTGACTTGTATTTAAGACGGGTAGTGCTTGGCCTACCTAATTAGCTTTAAAACTTTGACTGCAGCTGCCGGATTCTCCACACTAATGTGAAGCAGATTTGTTTTGATGCTTACTTTTTACCAAAATTGCAAACCAGTTGGGAATTAGGCTTTGTTGTGCTACATCGAGATTAGGCTGTTAGTCAAAATATAAATAATACAGTAATGGTAATGTGTTAGCCTGGAATTCTCCAGACATCATGTCTTTTGAGTTTACTTCATTTGAGGTATAAAAAACTATAAAATTTTGGTCTGTACTAATAACTTCTAAGCAATGACCATTTAATTAACATGAACTCAAGAAAATCAAGTATAAATTAAAAGCAGGAAGAGGTATATATAAGAACAGAGAAATATAAACCCTTACTTTTTTTGAGTTGCTTAAATAACATAATTTGGACATATTTCTTGTTGTGTTTGTCCAAAGCCTTTTGCGTTGAACTATTCAGTGTACATCTGCCTTCCATCATACCTTGTGTCTGCTTCTTGCATAAATCTTGTATGGTAGTTGGGCAAAAGTAACTTTTTCCTACTGTTCTGATGCTTTCTCAGGAATATTGTGTTGTTTGGTGTTTGGGGGTTGTTTTTTTTTTGGTTGTAAGGCTTTTGGGAGTGTGTGTTTTGTATGAGTTTTGGTTGGGAGAGGTGTTTGTTTGTTGGGAGATGTTTTTTGTTTGGCATTTAGTTTTTCTTGTTTTAATTAAATGTGGAAATGTCAAAATTTTAGATGCTGGTGTTTATCACGTTCTGACTTTTTAAGCTTTTACAAGGTCTTTGTCCTTGACACTTCTCTATAGAACACATTTTTTCCTGCTCTATCTTGCTCAGATGTTAGTCTTTCTGATATGTGGTTTTAATGTGCTTTCATTGTCAGGGGTTTTTTTTAGGTATGCTAAGTCCAGTTGTAACACATATATAATTCTTTCCTCTAAGGTTATTAGTGGGATCTTCTGAAAGAAACCTTAGTAGACTGACACACTAAATTGTGATTGATTTCTATGGAAAGTTACTCTATCTTCTTGAATGACGACACTTGATCCGTCAACTGTTTTTTCATCATTTTAAATGGCTTTTTCTGTTACTGCTTTTTTTGCCTTTTTATTAATGGTCCATGAGACTGAGTTAGTAGGTCTGTCACTAAGAACATCAATTGCCATGTGATTTTATGTGGATCTCTATGGTGGAACTTCCATGAAGTATAGGGATAGCATACAAAGTGTATTCCCTAGTGAAATGAAGGGGCTTTTTCAAAGAAATAAAACAATCCCAGAATATTCTGACTCAGTATTTCAGCTTTTGGCCTCTCCATACCACTATTTCCTCCTTTTTAAATGATCTAAAAAGATGGGAAAGGAATGGAGAATGGGCTTTTTTTTTTTTTTTATAGCTGTGGAATGGCTGAAAACTAGGTACTTTGGGGGGAATAATTTTGTTCTTTTTTTTCTGGTTTTTCTACATGGAAAAATATAGGTCTGGTCTATGCAGAAAAACCAAGAAAACTTACTTAAGAAGCCATCTGGAAAGTTGGTCTTTTGTGAGCTTCAACTGAACTTCTAGACAATACAGAGGCCTGTATTAAAGAGTGTACTTCTGTCTTGTTTTCCTTTTTACATTAAGTAGTAAAAATTTACTCCACAGATCCCAAGGCTTCTTTCCCTTTCCCATTGCCTCCTCCCAGACTTGATCTAACACATCGAGAGTTCCATAGCATCTTGCAGTATCTGAAGTTTTTAATGTTTGGGTTTTGGTCTGAGATATTTTTTTTTCTCATAGCATGATGTCTTGGTCACTGAACATGGGCATTTTGTTTGGTTTTCACTTGAGTTATGCACAAGGGTCTTCTTAGGAAGTTGCATAAACTTCATCACTAAGTGTTACTAGGTAGATAAAGCTGTAAATACTTTGCTTTTTAAAACGATAGCAAAAGAAGGAAGAATGATAATACTGTGTCTCTTTTCCAGCACTGAAACCTTGGATGTGTTTGCCCATGAAGATGCAGTGTACGGCCTTTCAGTAAGCCCAGTAAATGACAACATCTTTGCCAGTTCATCAGATGATGGCCGAGTTCTTATTTGGGACATCCGAGAGTCTTCCCATGGAGGTAGGATCTCTAGAAGGAAAAGATCGTTGATTGAGTAAGAGTTTGTGCAAGGCAGGGAAGAGAAAAAATATGTTTATCAGGGACAGTCGAGACAGTGAGTGTTGGGAAAGGGTGAAAGTGAGGCATAGTTCTTTTGCCCAGTGATAGGCAAGTCTTTTCAGTTCAGTCTTACTGTCTTAAATGACTCCATAAAGTACCAGTATATAGTGCAGGCTAGCATAGAACTTGGTTTGAATAGATTTTAACTTGAGTAAAGGGGGAGTGGAGGGGATGACAACATCTTTCAAAACTTACTATCAGTTAGGAATATGGGGTTTGGGTTTTTTTCCTATAGTCTGGGCTAAAAAGAAATTTTGGATGTTTAGAAGGCTGTCATTTTGATTTGAATAGTTTTCCAAAGCTAATTATATACTTCCCTGTGACCCTAAGACACGCATAATGTTTTCTGGTTGTATGGAAACTTAGAGCCCGTATGTGATAACAGGGAAATTGAATTATTACTTCAGTCTTTGTTTTCTGAAACAGAACTGAATAATGTTGATTTATATAACAAACCTGCAGCTTCTCAAAACACCGTGACCTGTGTTTTTACAGCTGCAGTTTTGAGGTTGAAGAATCTCAGTTTAGAACTATAGTTACATAAATTTGAGAGAAATACCACAGTAATTGAATTTCAGTGTATGAATACTTAAGTAACACTTAAATAAATGAAGCTTCAAGTTTACCTCATCCTAAAGAACACAGAGCAATCTGGAAGAGTACAGAATATGGTTCCCTTCCTTCACAGCTGAAATAAAATTCCATATTGAAAATGGTGAAATGTTCCTTTATTGCCTTCTCCTAAACTCTGCACTATAAAGATCTGTTTGGGTTAGGACAACTACCTGTTGCTGACAGTGGATGTCAACGGTCAGGAGGACTGGATGCTTAAATGCATCTGTAGGAAGCTGCTCAGTATCATAAGCTAATGTCCAATCTAATCAGAATTTTTGAGATTATACAAAATTAAATTTTACTTTCTTTGTTGTAATTAAACCTTATTACTGCTTTTACTGTTGTTAAGACTTTGGAAGAGAAGGCTGCACCCGTGAATATGGTGTGAAGTGTTGGTTATAGTAGTTTGAGGCTTTCTGGAGTTCTGTCTCAGGTTCTCTGAATTTTAAATAACGGGCTTTTACATGCTTATATAGGAGTTCTGAGTCAGCATTTATATGTGAGCCCTGCCAATGTTTACTACAGTATAATGCTTGTCACTGGGTAATCCCCTTGTCTGCATGGGTATTTTCATGAGAATAGGCACTAAACCTGCTAGTGTGAGTACAGTTAGTTACCCTGAGTGGCCAGTGTATTAAAATCTTACAAATAACCTCCTAGTTTAAAATAGTGCATTAAAAGAGGTTGGAAAAGGAGTTTTGTTCCCTTCTCTTTCTCCCTGTCTTTTTCTTCTGAGTGATTTTTGCAGTAGTTTTTATAAACCCAATTTAATTTTTATTAGAGATGGTGTTGAGCTGCTCTCTTGAGAAACATGTTCATACTCCAGTGTATAAAAGCTACAATTGTGAATGAGCATAAAGAACAATAAAAAAGTAATTCCCCTATTTTTCATTAAAATGACTTAGTACCTCATTAGTTTAGCTCCTGTAATCTCTCTTTGGCAGGCTGAAACTTTTGATATCTTAGAAGAAAACTGTGGTGCCAGGCTCTTTATTATAAAGGTGTGAAGGAAAGCACCAGTAATTAGTGACAATAATTTGACTAAAAAAATGTACATAAGTTGAAAGTTTATTTTAAAAAGGGAAACTCCTTTATTTGGCAATCTGATGTTGTTTGTCTCTCCACTCAGTTAACGCAAGCCTTTGCCTCTCACTGGGGGCTGCCATTTTAATAACACAGCCTCTTACGTCCCAGCAGGATTCTGATTTGATGATGCAAAAAAAAAAAAAAAAAAAAAGTCAGTTTTAGTGTTAAACCTTATTTGGCACTGCCAGCAGACTGACAGCAATTTCTAAAGCCTTGAGGCAGGCTGGCAGAGCAGAAGGTGGCTTCTGTTCTGCTTTTTACCTCTGTCTCCTACGACAATTAATAGCGCCATGGAGCTTCAGCTGTTGTTAGAGACCTTTGTTTTCATCACTGTTAAATGAACCCTGAAGAGGAAAGTCCCTATAAGAAAAAGCTTGTAATAGAATATGGAAGAAATGGCTGCCACAATAGAACATGAGGAGGAGGAGGATACAGGTAGGGCAAGACAAGTAAATGTTAATTGTGTCTCAGTTGCTTGATAAGCAATTGTTTCATAAGGTATTGGAAATTTGAGAGGATTGTCTGTTTAACCATGTTTTATATGCCATAACGAGTATATGAGGAAAGAAAACTAAGTACCTTTGGAGGTGCTTATAGGGCTAAGGGTGCCTGCACTTGGTGGCTCAGATAAGTGTCTCCCAGGCACATGAGCAACACAGGAGTTGCATCAAAGCAAACAGTGAATGGGAAAGTCTGGCATAATCCCTGGCTCAAAACAGGCATTGATTCTGGCTCCTTAGTTGATTGAAAAAGTGGCAGCATGCCATAAAAGATACACACAGCAAAGAGAATTAGACTGTGTCTAAAGCTGTAAAAGCTAGCAGAAAGATAGAAGGATGACAGAGTCAAGGCTTTTCCCCACTCTTCATGGAGACAGCATTTTGACAGAATGAATAGGGTAGAGTAGCAGGACATAGTCTTGATGAGAGGGAGAGAGTCTGAATGAGCATGTTTTTTACTCTGTGTGAATAGTAAGAGCCAACTGTTAACATTTTTTTATGCGAGAGGAACGCCCTTCTTGTCTCCTTGTACAGCACTTAGGAGGTGGCAAGCCTATTTTCCCCAGGGTTGGCAGCTTTCTTTGAGCTGAGTTCCATACAAATTTATTTCACTTCTTGTAATATTATTCTCCCATATAATCAATTGCTGCTACATTTCTGGTTTGGGCAGTCATCCATCAGTGGCTGTGGAAGCTTTCAGGCATATATTGCCAGAAATCTTTCAGAAGCTCCCCCCATGCTTACTCCCTATCAGATGACCATTTGGTCGTGAACCTTAAGAAGATTCAAGTATTTGGTCTTTGACTAGCTAGTTTTAAACTCTCATAACCTTCCATAAGCAAAATGATGTCTTGAAATTCAGCATATATCCTTTGCCATATTTAGACAGAGTTAAGATGCGCATGGATGGATTTGAAAACTTCAGGTTTTATATTGCTTTGGATGTGTCAGGTTGAGAAATGGTTTGAACATGCCTCCATATCTTCAGATCTTGTTATGCTGTTTCCATATTAGGCTGCCAAAGTCATTGCATCAAGCAGTTGTATGCATTGTTTGTTCTTATATCTGAAATTTCAACTTTTTCAACAGAGCCCTTCTGCTTGGCACACTACCCATCAGCCTTTCACAGTGTAATGTTTAATCCAGTAGAACCCAGATTACTGGCTACCGCCAACTCTAAGGAAGGTGTGGGACTCTGGGATATTCGTAAACCTCAGAGGTATGATCTGTGCTTGTCTTGTGCTATTTCTTTCACTTGAGAGGTGATGGCATGCTACTCTTTTTTTTTCAAATCAGAACATATGGTGGTAAGAAAAGATTCAGAACAAAGTTAATAACAATGTTGGTTATCGATGATTTTGCATAATTAACATTCTTCTTCGTATATGTGATTTAATTCAGTTTAAAATGGGGCTAGATCTTCATGTTAAGGTAAGTGATTTTCTTCAGAGCTGCCTGGCCTCACTACTGCAGATTAACTTGGATTGTTGTGTCAAGTTCTCATCATTATATTTAGCACTGGCTTGCTAATACTGGAAGAAGCTGCAGTGGGCATTGCCTGGTTTACAGTTTGTTTTTCCTACCCAACTCAGTTTTCAGTGGCTGACTGATTGTGGTCAAGGCAGCTTTTTACTCAGTGCTTATGAGTTTTGTATGACTTCCTGAATAATACAGACACCTGGATAATCAGTTTGGCTGTATAATGTACTTCCAGATTTGAATAGAATTATAAACAAATGAAGAGAATAAGGTTGCAGCATGAAATGTGATTAGACTGGGTTCTAAAGTGGATGTATGCAATGTCCGATATCAGAGTTTGGAATGTATGAGTATTTAAGCTTCTGTTGAAGTATTTATCTGTCTTTCAGATTTAAAATTTTCATTTTTTTTATCATAATAATCTGTGGTGGTTAACCCTGGCTGGATGCCAGGTTCCCAGCAAGGCTGCTTTACCACCCCGCTCCTCAACTGAACAGTGGAGAGAGAATATAATGAAAGGCTCATGGATCGAGATCAGGACAGGAAGAGATCACTGACCAATTACCATGATGGGCAACACAGACTTGACTTGGGGAAATTAACTGAATTTTTTACCAGTCTAATCAGAAGAGGGTAATGAGAAACAAAAAAAAAAACAACTCAAAACCACCTTCCCCCCACCCTTCCCTTTTCCCCAAGGCTTAATTTTACTCCTGAATTCTCTACCTCCTGCCCCCTCAAAGTCATACTGGTTTTGCAGGATTTTTTAGTTTTCAGCTTCTACCTTATTTCTATGATTAAAGAACTTCCATGAGTTGGTCTCTTTTTCAAAAAGGAGTTGCACCAAAACATTTCTCTTTCCAGACACTTATTCTCAGAGTAGCAAGGAATTATGTTGGTAAATCCTATATGAATGCAAAATTTAGATGAAGTCTTTCACTTGGGTAGCACATTGAAATAGCATCGACCCATGTAGCTGGAAAGGTTATATAAGGCTAACAGGAATAAAGAGTGGAAGTGCCCAGAGAAGGGCAATGAAGCTGGTGAAGGGTCCAGAGCACGAGTCCTGTGAGGAGCAGCTGAGGGAGCTGAGTTCATTTAGCCTGGAGAAAGGGAGGCTCAGGGCAGACCTGGTCACTCTCTACAACTACCTTAAAGGAGGCTGTAGTGAGGTGGGGGTCGGTCTCTTCTCCCAGGTAAAAAGAGATACAAGAGAAAATGGCCTCAAGTTTGTACCAGGGGAGCTTCAGATTGGATATCAGATAAAATTCTTCACCAAAAGGGCTGTCAAGCATTGGAACAGGCTGCCCAGGAATATCTATCCCTGTAGATGTTAATACATGCGCAGACATGGCACTTAGGGACATGTTTAAGTGGTGGACTTGGCAGTGTTGGGTTAATGTTTGGACTCACTTTTCATAGATGTCTTTTCCAACATAAGTGATTCTATGATTCTATTCTAAATATCATTAACGATATAAACTTTGACACTGGTATATGCAGGAGCACATTACTTGAGTAAGGAATTCTTCTATTACAAATTTGAACAGCTGCTTTCTAATAGCAAAAATAGTACCTTTCTATAATATTTAGCTATTCTTACTAAGACACTGATCTCCAGAAGTTTCTCATCATTTATATAAAAGTATTAATGAGCATTTGCTTGGAGTGTTAGCAGCTGTCAGGTCTTGGAAACTCAGATGATCTCCAGTCTGGATGCTATCCTACCTTCTTCCTTGATCTTAACCACAAAGCGAAAGGCTTACTGTGAGCTAGTTGGGGCTACTGTTGTATGGGACAAGAGTCTGTACTCAAATTTAAGGACACACATTTTTAGCTGTATTGTGGCATTGTTCTTTTAAATGCCAAATATAAAATAATTACAACAGAATTTAATTGCTTCTTGGCAAGTAAGTAGCACCAGTATAAAAGTCTTAATAGCATTCGACAAATCAGAAGATTTTTTTTTTTTAATGATGAAATAAGAAGGGAAAGGGTTTCTTATGTTTTAATGTCTAGGTTATCTTAAAGGCCTTGAATAAATTAAACTACTGGAAGCTTGTATATTTATATCTGATGGACAGGAGCTACCCTTTTCTGGTCCTAATCTGTTCAAAGTAAAACTGTCCAATTAAAAAGTCTAATGTGGATGTGACTATAGAGCTGAAATTCTGAGGTGGATAGGTCACACCACTTTCCCCAAAGCAGGAAAATGTGTGCAACACTCTGATTGTACAGCTGGGCACACACAGCTGTGTACCAGGCAGCTGTTCCCTTAAACACTGAATTTAAAGCTTTTGCACCTACTACATGTGGTACATTGTGTAAAATAGGCACATGCTTCCTGCCTGCAGCCTACCTTCAGAAAAGTGAATAGTAAGAGAAGGGCTGCTCCTCACAGAGTATATGCTGTTGTCTTATATTTAGAGTCTCAGACTTGAGCTGAGCAAGCTGTAACATAAATGAATGCAGGTGATAAGTCTGCCCTCACCTGCCATTTTGCGGCGACAGCCATTAACTTTCCTCCTTTGCTTAATAGAGATGTGCCCAAAACATGGTGGGCAGGATATGCTTGGCTTATGAAAAGAAAATGGCCCTAAATTATTCTGCTGCCACTGCATTTTTTTTCCCAGGGAACTCTCAGGAAAGAGGACAATTCAGAATAATCCGTGTCCTTCTAGTGGGCTGCCAAAACCAGAGTCACTCATATTTAAAGAAATTAGACTGGATTTTTAGTCTTTTTTAAAGTAACAAAGCATTTGCCAAAACTTCCACTGGTCTCTGTAGATCTAATTTGCTAATCTAGAAATATGGAATTTGTTTTTTAATGTATTTTGAGCCAATTCATTATGTCTTATGAGGAAAAAATTTTATTAATTTGTAGATCAGATAAGCTTCAGCTGTTTTGTCACAATGTGTGGTAGTGGAATTTTGATTAGAGGTTGAGTTGGTAAAAAGAAGGGGAAGAAGTATAGATAATTTTAGGTGTTTGCTGTGGATTGCCAAAGTCTTAATTTCAAGTGGGTTAAGCAGGGCTGCAGCCCTCCTCCAGTACAGGAAATATGGCTCTGTGTAGTTAATAATTTGCTGCTAGTATAACACTTCATGTAAAACTCATACCCCAACTACTGTCCTGTTCTCTGTCAGTTCTTGAATGGAGGCAGAGTTAGACTGATGCAGGCACTATGTGGTGTGCTTCCTAACTGGAGGCTGTTCTGAGGAATCCTGCTCTTGCTCAGCTGCAAAATGAAGCAAATTAAAAGCTTGAAATTCCAAAGACTGACTTTCTGTGGCCAGTAGCACTACTGTAGCTAGCAATACCTTCACATAACATGTATTGCAGCCAACAGCACTGGTGTGGCAATATTTTTTACAGATATAGGTGAGGTTTGATAAATCCACAGTATTTCACTCATTTGAAGGGAATCAGGCTCGATGATGAATTTCTAGTTTTAATCAGCAGGGGGTCCTCAGGTGAAGTAAAGTTTTTCTTTGACTCTGTTCAGCTTGATAATGCACTGTCAGAAAAGGGGAGATTTACTGTTAACCTCTAAACTTGTATGGCAGTCAGTGGAATATGGCTCATTGTGCATTTTTAAACTAATAGCTCTAAATCTTCAAAATATTGAATGGAGTAGTAAAGTCCTTGTAGGTTAGAGAATTCAAATATAGATTCCATTGCTTGTCAGAAACAAGTGAGCTGCATCTACTTATTTATCCAGAAAATCTGAGGATTTTTACATCAGGGTACTTTGCTCTAAAATATGTGGCTCTTCTCCAATTGGGTTATTGGGAGAATTTGTCTTAGCTTGCTGTTACATGCCTCCAACCAGGAAAGTTGATTTTACCCACTTCTATAGTCAGGCAACACTAAACACCTCTACAAATTAAAACTGAAATACTTTTAGGGCTAGGAAAAAAGTCCTGATTATGAGCAGATTTTATTTATATGCTGTGGAATTGGTTAACTTTCTAATGGGAAGCAGGGAGTGCTTTATGCTCGGCTGGTACAGTGAAGGCAGTAATTGAAAAGCCAGCATTTCTTGGCATGCGTGGAGAAATTTAGAGACAGTTGCACAACTCTGAATTGTGGAAAGTTTAGCTCACTTCAAATAGTCATAATTTGATTAGTCTTGCTGACTGAGTCAGGATACAGAGTCAGATTCATTTTGCATTTTCTCAAAGTTCATTCACAGCTTGATATCTCTTCTGTCTCAGATTCAGTGCAGCAATTGAGATTCCCTGCTTCTACGCTATAACTAGTAAGATTTGAATGTGGTAGGCTGGCTCCTCAAAAATAGCATATGAAGGGCTATTAATATAGTACTAATATAATTCCAGCATGATTACAAGTTGACTAGTGATTCAGGAAATATTATTTTGCTATTTTTAGAACGTGTGAGTATTTCTAGCCTTCCAGGTGGACGTTAAACTGAAATCACGTGTATTGTTTCTTTTTCAAAAACAGCCCATTGAAAAGCCTTAAATATGGTTTCGGATGATGAGGCTGTTGTAAGGCGTTCGTGCCACTAGATGGGGTCTGGAAGCTGTGCCTTTTTTTAAGAAAATCTTTTTTTAAGAAAATCGAAAAAGGCGGGTCTGTGCTTCTTAGATTGTTTGCAATAAAATATGTATTGCAAATCTGTATTGTTACAGGATTGCTGGGAGCAACTCAGCAAGGTGGAGTACAAGCAAATATGTCAAGCAAAGACTATGTAACTTCACTTATTTTTAGGGACT